TCCACCGCGTCCCCGCAGGGCTTTGTGCTAGGGGTTTCATCTCTGTCACTCCTCCTTGGCGGGGAACTGCTTGGGTCAGAAAGGACCTCGGAGGCTGAAAAAGTGGGTCGGAGACGGCTCTCATTGTTCCCGCATGCTGTCAGCCACAGTGGCCAACTGGCAGCAGGCGACGCGTAGCAGATGTCCGGGAAGACAAAGGCAGGCACGGTCCCCACCAGCCGCCCGTCATTGACGGCCTTTGTCCGCGGCGGTGGAGCTGGGGGACTGAGGCGAGGCGTCCGCTCTAACCTTCACGCTCCTCCCTCCCAACTTCCAGTTCCTCCTCCCTTCACCCCCCAAGCCTCAGGCGGAGGGGTGGGGAGCAGGGGAGGGAGGTGGAGTTCCATTTGCACTCTTTTGTTTTACTGTGTTTTATTTTGCAAAAGTCAGTCGCTTTGAAGTTTCCTCTGTCAATGAAAAGAGTCTGCGATGTGATCACACAGTCAGCGCAGCGAGGACCCCCTGATTAGTGGGAGATCAAACCCGGCCCCCTCTGGAAGGATTCTAGCCACAGACAGCTTGCCAGTAGCCAATTAGGGTAATTGGAAACTTCTGCCCCAGCGGGGTGCAGAGCCCATGCTCCTCAGCCCCTGGCCTCCAGCACCTCTGTTCTCTTACTCTAGCTGCTCTCTCTCAAAGGGCTGTTCCTGGCACTGCTGGGCGTGCATTAAACTCCATCCTGGCCCCAGGCCTTGTGGTGAACAGGGCAGAGAACCAGGCCGGCAAATGAAAGCCAAAACTCTAGGTGACGTTTCCCCTTTCCATACACAGGTCTTGTCCTGAGCCCTTAGTAGGGGTTGGGTGGGGGGAACCCCCTGGCTCCCTAGAACTTGCAGGTTAGCTAAATGGGCTGTGTGGCTGACCCTGGCAGGCGGCAGGCAGAATCCAGAAGCCCAACCCTCAGCCAGGGTGTCTGCTCCAGGAGAGAATAGAGCTGGTGCTAGTCCCTGAGCATCCGCAAAGGTGCATTCATTGCATCCCGAGCAGGACGGTCAGGCGGCCAAGCGGGCCCCAGAGAGAGTACTCCAGGCCAGGAACAAAGCCGGGTATCCTTGGAAGTGCTGGGTCCTGGGGAGCAGCGGCAGGAGGTGGGGGCAGGTGCTAGGACCCAGACTCTGGGTTGGCACTGGCATCTGCACCTCTGGGGCTGTGGAGCCCACACTGTGATGTGCTCCCAAGAGCCCAGCGCCTTCCTCGCTTGCCCCTGTATGCGTGGCTGGAGGCCCCTGGCGACACTGTCTGTTGTCGCTGTCCAGGAGGTGAGGTTGGAGAGGTGTCTGGCCCCGGAGAGCAGACAGGGTGGGATAGGGCTCAGCTTCCCCAGAACTCCCTGCTCCTCGCCCGGTGCTACCTGCCTCCCGGCCTGTGGGTGGGAGCCTGTGCCAGCCCCACAATGAGCCTTGTGGACAAGGCGGGGGGCACAGGTTTGCCTGGGACATGGTAGCTTCTGCCAGGAAGCCCATGCTGCTTCTGGCCATGGCCCTCTCCTGCCTGCTGGCTTCCTCAAGCTTCTCTCTGCTGCCTTCCTCCTCCACCGGCATCTTGGACACCAGCCTGGGGCCCAGGGACACCAGGCCCCCCTGGAGGGAAGAGCTCAACTGATATTTGAATGCTCAGAGGGACAGCAGGGGAATCACAGCCTGGAGGAGTGAAGCAGCTCCAGACAGACAGACAGCCCTGGGGGAGGAACACTACCGTAAAATGGCCTTGCTTCAGTGTATGTGTGCGTGTAAGAGTGTGTGTGAGAGAGTCAGCTGAGAATGTGAGAATGAAGCAGGACCCTGAAAAAGAGAGAGGCCCAGCAGTAGAAGTATAATTCAAGGAGGCAGGGAATCGCGGGGCCCTCTCCCCTCCACTGAGCTGGAAGCGGGCTTCACGAAGGGCCCCCACACGCCTGCGCCAGGGGCTCAAGGAGCGCCTGGACGCCCAGGGCGAGCCCCTCCTCCCGGAGCCTCCTTGACACCTCAGGGCTCACCCCTCCTTGATCGTTAGGACCAGAGTACAAAGAAGTGAGCTATAAATATGTACACATATATAAATATATTTTTAATTACGTGTCGTGTCACGGTGGCTCCAGACATATGGTTTGCCTCGCTAATTCCATTGCTTGAAAGCGCTTCCTGGCCAATACGAATATCAACTTCAACTCTTTTTCTAAATGCGGGTTGCTGCTACTTTTTCAGACATGGCAGGAAAACGCTTAAAAAAAAAAATTGTTACGTAAACAACAGTAAAGCAGCAGGTCTGAGACTGAAGCAGCTCCCCATGGGAGAATACTCAGACAGGAACTGGGGAGCAGAAATGGGCACCCCACAAGCCCCCACGCCCTCCCCGGGCCAGGTCCCCCTCTGCCGAGGGAGGAAGACAGATCCAGGTTGACCTCTGAATGTAACTGACAGGAGGCAAAGCTGGATATTGCGTTTCCCAGGCTTCCGCTGTTTTCCCTCCTCGCCCAGTTTTCTTGGCGTGCTCAAGAGGCAAAGTCCGGCCATGTGATGTTGACCCTGTCTCGGTCTCTCCCCCCTGCCAGTCAAGACGAGGTAGCCATTGTTTCCCTCTCAGGCAGCCGGCCTGCTCATCACAGTCCTGTTCTTCGTCCCTGGGGCCTTGCGGCTGTGCTTGAGCCCCGGACCGCAGCCCCAGGAGGGGTCCTGACCTTCCCCCACAGAAGGCGGGAGCCCCCCCCCGCCCCCCGCCCCGGGGAATGTGCACTCCCAAACCAGTGGTGTCTGTTCAGCCTTCCTTCACCAGTCTGTAAACCTTTAAGGTTTGGGGAATGTCCTGTCCATCCATGTAAATGTAAATGTTGGCGGAGTTCGTATTTATTCTAATTTTTATTTTATTTTTATTTTATTTTCTCTGAGGGTTGGGGAGGGTGGGAGGGGGTGTACCACTGATCACGCCCTGGGCAGCTGCAGGGTCTGGGGCCCAGACAGCTGGGCTACCACGAGGAGCCAGCCCCGTGGGGCCACCCCAGACGCCAAGGCCCAGTCTGGCATGAGAAACTGGCCAGTGTTCCTGTGTGACCGCCTGAGGGCCTGCCTGTGGAGTCCTGTCCCTCAGCTGCTGGACACTCTGTTGAGAAACCTCTGGCTGGGCCTTTGAGGACACAGACCAGGAAGACGACAACACTCCTCTGCTGGGGACAGTAGTGCAGAAGTCACTGAGCCAGCTGGGAGCCTGTTGGCAGGACCTACCTCCTTGGAGCATGGGCCTGGGGCTTCCCGCCAAAGCTGCAGTGGAATCCTGCTCATGCGACCACCTTCCCTCTCTCGGTATGTCCTGCTTTCCAGCTGAACCCAAACTACAAGTGGGTTTCAAGAAATAAACAACACCAAAACACAAAAATGCCCCGCATCGGTGTTCTTTGTATGTTCAGCAAAGGAGAGCTTTCCCCAAAGCTGTGGTCCCTCCACTGGTGCTGCTGGCAGAGGCCTCTGCCCAGGTGAGGCGTGCGTGAGAAGACTCCCTAAGTTCGGACGCCTCAGAGGCTGGGGTGGGCTGTGGCGCGGTCCCAGAGGAGATACAGGGCTGTGCCCCCCGGAGCTGAACACTGGCCCAGCCAAAGTGTAGGATTAGGCCATGCTGCAGAAGTGGCTTTGGCACTAAAGATGTAGTCGGCTGCATCTTCAGCTGCCACCCCCGGACCTCCCCACCTCTCAACTGTTTCTGTGGCATTTGGCAATGACTAGTTTAAGAAGATGGAGACTGGGGCCTCAGCTTCTGAAAGATGGCAGCAAGTGGCTGTCTGGTCCCGGTGGGTCAAATCAGTCTCTCATCAAAGGGTCCTCAGGGGCCTGGTGATTTGCTCTCCTGTGATAACTTGTCCCTTGTTTTGCACAATTCCTCCAGGCAAGACATTGGGGACATCACCTCCTGGTAACAGACCCCCCCTTGAGGATTCTTCTAACTAGAACTTGCCAGTCTTTTATCTCCTTGGGGTGGCAGCCAGGGCGTGCACACAGTCCTACATCCCTAGTTGGCCATTATGAGCGCCAGGCAGCCCAAGGGCCTGGCAAGGACATTGAGATCGGTCATTCCCATTCTTGAGTCCCATGACACCATGCAGGGACAGCCAGAAGTACCAGAGACTGGTAAAGGGAAATACTATTTTATCACATGGGACATTTGCCAAACCAATTTTTTTTTTTTTTTTCATGAAAATGCAAAGGATTAGGAGCAGAAAGTCAGGCAAATGACAGGTATTTGAAGTAGGAGAGTGGGTGGGGGAGGGGAAAGCTTACCAAGTACTGTACACCAAAAGAGATTTTTCTAGATAATTCAGTCCATGTTCTAGAATGATCTAAGTTACTGAAATCTATGAAAGGTGTCCCCCCGCCCCCAGTAGTAAATGTTTCTATCCTGCCATACCCTACATCTCTGCTGCTCTGTGTTACCTGGGATACATCTGTCCTGGGAGGGAGGGAAAGTCTTTGTTTTGAATGAGTAAGGAGAACACACACATACACACAGGTAAAGGCCTTTTTAGTACGAAAGCAGAGACAGCTGGGGGCAAGGATTGAGAAGCAAGGAAAAGAAGGGTTATACCTGAGTCTCCAAGGTCCCCCTTGTTCCTATAGCTCCCCATGGCTCCCAGACTCTGTCTCAGAGGGCTGGATGAAGGAGGCAGAAGGGTGATTTTGATTCCCATTTTACAGATGAGAAAACTAAGGCTCAGAAGGTAGCGCAACTGATCGAAGTCTAGTCAGTGGAAGAGTCAGGCACAGTGAGCCACCTGCCTCCTCCCCACCCCAGAAAACCAGCTGTCCTCATCCCAGAGAGCCCACCGGTCAACCCAGAACAGTCAACTGCCCACTGACACTATGCAGAGTGGGGAAATAGCAAAATAACTCAA